ATAAATCTTCCACAAAACGCTGCACTTGGAAACTCTACAATTCGACACATCGCATTTGTCATCGTCCAAGTCTCTACACTATAGCCTCAGCCTTATTGGCATAGACAACGGTTACACGATTATAACCGAGTTAAAAATAGCGCGTCATTTGTACCTTCAACAAGTGAAACAACATACTTCTCCACCTCTTTCTTCCAACAGAGTGGAGAGCTTCCTTTTGCCTTTCTTCCACCGGGGGATACTTCTTCGAAAACTTTAAAAGCTGGAGTATTCCTATACATGCGGACGACATGACCTAACCAGCGCTGAACTATGTCAATGTCGCCATATAACTCGTACAGCTCATCGTTCTATCGTCTGCGGTATTAGCCGATGTCAATGCACAAAGGACCATAATCTCCTGCTTTCTCTCGAAAACTCACGAGTTCAGACTTACCAGATATCTTCCATTTAGGTCTAGACTCTGTAGCACGTTAAACTCCTACCTATCAAAACTCAATTCCCCCATATCCAATGTATGCCTAGCATTTGAAGAGTCTTCGCACGATACTGACCACCTCTTCACATGCTCCCTTAAGCCGACACATCTAATCCACCCCTCCCCTCTCCCTCTGGTCCGATTTCCTGGATCTCCCGTTACTGTGTTTACGCAGCCATAAACAATTCTTGGGGCTACCAAATTCTCCAAGGTAGTCAACCTCTTTGCACTCCACTACGGCATCATCCTATCAAAACTTTTCTACATTTTCGAAATCAAATAGTTTCGTTTGTAGCTGTACGTAGTGATCTGGAAATACCTTCCAAGACTTCCCTAAATAGTGCTCTTGGCAAGCAGGTATACAAATCTTATATAAACCCGATCATCTGCTCGCGAGTTTTTCGATTCGTAGGCAACCGCTGTAGCTTGATGAATTTTCTTGTACTGGAATGAAGTACTATAAGCAACCATATTTCGAATCTCGGCGAATTCGATCCTCCGCCTCAGCCCATTTGAGGATGTTGGGTCGTGGAGGCAAAATTTTCCAACAGTTGTGCTGACGATACTTTTATTGCTTACCCGGCAGTAAATCCGCTAAGTATGATTTTTTCATCTAGTCGGGGGCTGTGCTCATAGAAAAGTTCCATTAGTCACTGCTTCTTCTCTTTCATTGGAGCGCAATTCAGCGATATGTCAAAGAACTTCGTTTTGCTGAGGATTGTGCGATTTTTAAACGGAATGAAATGCACGATTCTCATTCTTTCTCTCTCTCTAATTCCCTCCCTCTTCCACTCTCTCCCTCTCTCTCTCCCTTTCTCCCACTATCTCCTATCTCTCTCCCTCATTCCCTATCTCTCTCTTTCTCGCTCAACTTCTCTATATCTCTCTCTGTCTCTCTCTCCTTCTCTCTCTTTCTCTCTGCTTCTCTCTATCTTTCTCTCTCTCTCTGATTCTCTCTCTCTCTTTTTTATCTCTCTTTCTCTCTGTCTCTCTCTCTCTCTTTTTCTCTCTTGCCCTCTCTTCCTCTCTCTCCCCCTCTCTCATTCCCTATCTCTCTCTCTTTCACTCTCTCCTTCTATTTCTCTCTCTCCTTCTCCCTCTCTTTCTCTTTCTTCGTCTATATTTCTCTCTCTTTCACTTTCTTCCTCTATCTTTCTCTCTGCCTCACTCTCTCTCTTTCTGTATAGTAGATTTCCTAAATGCCCACCTTTTTATACCTTTTGCACTTAAGACACACATACTCTTTGCTCTTACCTCATTTTTCTCTTATATGGTTTTAGGACATAATTCAGTTGACTCTACCTCTTCTCCACTCGGCTCTAACTCTACCCGTCTGTTTCCAACTTTTGATTACTTTTGTTCATCAAGTACATGAACATTAGATCTATTTTCCCCTACGTTCTTTCCACCACTTTGCACAATTTTCTCGTCGTACGAAAGAAAGAAAAGTGAAAAGTTTCTTTCATTGTGTTACTTCCCATGAAATACATATCAAGCTGCTTTGAATTTTAGTACAATACCATTCAATCTCATATGAAAGTTTGATTTACGTAAAGTTGTTCGTAAAAAAAAACTATTTCCCAGCAGGAAATCAAATAAATTTAAGCCATCCCCATAAGAAATATTATACAAGAGGAAGGATCCTTCTACGCAGGCTAGGTCCGCTTAGAAGAAAGTTATAACAGAAAGAGTACCTTCTGGCAGGTCCACGCTAGCTAATCTGTCCTTAGCAGGGAAGAATGGGCTGAAGACATGGCTCTCGGTAATAGCAAAACTAACCATATTTCTTCTCATGAGTCTGAATGCGAGGCAGGCGTAGAATCTAGCTAACTTCACACTCAGTGAGTACTATAATGTAGTCATGAGGTCACTACTGAGAGTATTATGTGGATAACCTCCTTCATGGGAAAAAATAAAATACGATTCTTTCAAATAGGCGTGTCTCTGATTCAGGACCGATAGAAAAGAGTAAGAGTTGTCTTCCTAATCATCAAAGCAAAAGCAGCATACGAATTTCAAGTAAATCGAACCGTAAATAAGATCTTTTCTAATAGGTCGGTTCCTAGCCCATTTCCCGGCGAGAAAAGTAGTGCTCATTCTTATCTAGATAAAAAGCCAAATATGCGTTGAATTTCAACTACACTAAAAAGGTGTAATTGTGATATTCAAATATAAATGGCATTTTTTGAGATAAATGATAGGAAGTTTATTTTCAAGTAAAGAGGACGAAGAAATGCCATTAATAATAGTAAAAAAAATAAAGTAAATCAGCCAAATGACCGCCAAGTCTTCGCTTACAGAACCGTATCCTTTTTATGAAATTTTCCATCAACAAATCGCAAAGTGGCAGCTGTATGCCCTCAATAGTTTCACGGACTCCATCATTGAGGTCGAATCGTTGTCTTTTTGGAGTAGACCTTATTTTTTTCATGACCACAACGGAAAAAATTGCAAGGTGTTAAATCACAAGACCTCTGTGACCAATTGTGATCACCTCTTGAAGAGATAACACGGTGCGGAAACTTTTCCCTTGAATGATCGATGGTTGCGTTGCTTGCGTGGCACATAGCGCTATTTTGTTTAAAGTAAATGTTACCCAGATCAATTGAAATTGGATGATTTCCGAGCATAAAAAATCAATGCTGTGCACCAGGCTCATTTTCAAAAAAGTAAGGACCAATTAAGTCACCGAACCATAAACGGCACCGAACGGTCCCACATTGAAAATAGAGAGGTTTTCCGAGCTCCAGAGCCGACAGTTTTGCTTATTGACGTAGCCATTTAGGTGGAAATGAGTCTCGTCAGTCAATATTATTTTTTTTTATGAAATTCTGTATGATTTTCATGCATTTTAAGTACCCAATAAGGAAGGACACGACGCTGCTGATAAACGGCCTGCTTGAGTTCGTATGTTAGTTGAACTTTATAAGCCTTCAGACCCAAGTCTTTGTGCAAATTACGGTGTATTGCCGTTTGTGAAGTGCCCAATTCCAAAAAACGACGAGGGATGAACAAACCTGAAGTTTTTTTCTTCAACACTTTGTGCCACAGTGGCGAAATTCTCAGTTGTTTTTGAGCGAGGTGGACGTGTTTTATTCTTTACATGGAACCATATAAGCAAACTAGAAAAGTTTGAAGTCAAACGTTCGGCAAGTTTTGTGGATTACCGGATCTTTATAAACAGACATTAGGTTTTTATATAGATGATAAAATAGATTGATATAGAGAAATTGAAGTGAGCTGACGAGGCATCTACCAGCCTAAAGTAGAATCGGCTGAGTACTTAGCGTGTACAGAAGCTGGAGCACTGCTACTATGCAAGTGTTTGACCTTCAACCAACTGTGACATCATCATTTTCACGAAAACCCGATCCCCAGACTTACGAGTGAGAATTTAGCGGATTTCAAAATTTTAAACCTTGAGCCTGCTTCAGTTCTCTTTTGAATATTTAATCCGGAAAAAAAAGTCATGTTTCAAAAAAAAAAAATATTTTAAATCAATATTAAATTAATAATTCGAAATTAATTATAAAACATGTGAACATCCTTCGAAACTTTTAATAATAGAATAATAAATATCCATAAGTTTTCGAGTGTTTTTTTTAAATTTTTTTGTTCTCAAAATTCCATAAATAAAAACCCAAAATAATTATTTACCAAATAATTTTTAGGCCACACAAGTACTGTCTGTATAATTTCATTATGACCCAATTAAACGCCTGACGTACACATACACACACACACACACACATATATACATACATACATACATTGTACAAATAAATGTAAGCCATGGAAGGCACAACAACGCAAATACGCGCAAGCAAATGTTAATGAAAATGTGAATAGACACAGTAAAAGCTTGCCGGTATTGAAGATTGTGCGTGTGTGCGTGTGGGTGGTTATATGTATGTACAACAACAACCACCTGTTGGTCAATATGGACGAGGTTAATGAGTGCTTTCAACACTCACTTCGACCGAGCAGAGCCAATGGATGACTTGTAGCCGTGTGTTTGTATGTGTGTGTGTATGGGTGTATGTATGCTTGTGTGTACGTGCGCAGTGTTTATGTGAGTGATTTATTTTAAATCAGAGATTAATTGTATATATATTTATTATTGCTATTTTCCTTTTGCCACTTTGACCGCCAGCTAAATGCGCACACATATATGTTCATACATATATACATATACTTATGTTAATATGCTTTTAATGCGCGTAAATTACAGATATCCACTATAAAATAAATAAATATATATATGCATATACATACCTATACACCACGTCGCTTGTGCAACAACAATATAAATAAATAAAAAATATTTATTATAAACCAAATAAATCAATTCAATTAAAAAAAACACCCACACACATACATACATAAATAAATAAAATACAAAAACAACACTGCAAAAAAAAATATTCTTTACAACAACACTAATTTCCTGCGACAACAACATACATTTGGAACACGACGCGGCGATAAAAATGAGGTGAGCTAAGAAATTGGTTAATAACCAAAAATAGTAGCAGCAGCAACAACAACAACAGCATCAAACAACGAACCAACAAGAGTATATAACTCGATGACAAAAAATAGCAAAAACAAAATTTTCTTTGGCGCCTCAAAAACTTTACCAACTACAACGTACAACCTACAGTCTACTGCGCCGCCTTAGCTTAGTTTAAAGCGGTACCGTTAAATCAGCAACGCATTCAAAAACTATCTACTACTTGGCTTAAACTTAGACAGTTTTTGTTTTTGGCAACGCCGGTGCAACTCTGCACGATCAATTGGCGGTGATGCGTTGTCGTCGCCACGCGAAAATTTCTTTAATGTCTTGCTGTCGCGGCTGTTCGGAGGATGTGTATGTGTTTGTGTTTGTTTGTTTGTTTGTTCGTTTGTCTGTTTATGTTCCCAGCGTTTGTGTCACGCCCACATTTTTCGGCACTTTGGCATATACTGTTACGGTTGTTGTTGTTGTTTATCACTAACACATTAAAATGGTGGCGGCTGCTAAGTAAAAATAAATGAAAATTGTACTAACTACACTACAACAACACTTGGCAACGTGCATATATTTAGGTTTGTCGAGCTGTAATTAGTCACATGCATACATATGTACATATATTATAATTAGCTGTAAGTTTGTATACCTTTTCTGAACATGTAAGTACACGTATGTAAGTAACAGAAGGATCAGAGAGTGACGCACACTCTAAAATTTATGCCGATTGGAACACAGCGACAAGCTGAGTTGATTTAGCCATTTCCGACAGCTTTTTGGACTGACTGTCCGTCGGTCTGTCGGTCTGTTGCAAAGCAAATTAGTCCCTCAATATTGCAGACATTTTAACCAAATTTTGTACGCATTTGTAGGAAACAACCAGATCGGCCAACCATTGCCACAGACTTAGGTTTTCGGTCATAAATCCGTTACAAAACATCTGTGCTTGAAATTTGATATTTGGAAAATTATCGAAATCGGAAGACTAAAGAAAAAATATCACAAAAATGTAAACAAATTATTAATTTATCCTAAAGGACTGCATACAGCCAGGCTTGAGTCCGAGTTCAACACACAGAATTAGACAAAACTATTTTTCCTCATTTCAGGCGCCCTTCTGCTGGTAATGTCAAGCCCTCCGCGCGTATTTCCGACATGAAATAAAATGTTTCCTCGTAATAGAACTTTCGCTTTTTAACCGCTGAAGCGAATTTCAGCCGAGCTCTTCCTATTCCTCCAACAAATGGATGAATATACAGTTTATAATAATTATTTCATGTCACAAATATTTCATGATGATACTGTAAACGAAAGTGTAGCATAAAAGTGGCTTGCTAAGTTCCGTTCCGGTAATTTCGATGTCAAAGATGCCTCATGTGTCGGGTGGCCTGTCGTCGAAAATTGCTATAAAATCATGGAAATAGTGGAAACAGACCGTCACGTGAGCACTTATTTAACTGGAAAACCATTTGGAACAATTTACATAACCTTGGATTCAAAAAGAAGCTCGATGCTTGGGTGCCACACCGAATTTCCATCTGCGAATCGCTGCTGAATCGCAACAAAATTGACCCGTTTCTGAAGCGAATTGTGACTGGCGATGAAAAATAGGTCACTTACGACAACATCGAGCGCAAGCGGTCGTGGTCAAAACTCAGGGAAGCGGCTCGAGCTACTCTCCTATGGCCAAACGCTTAACTCAGCCGTCTACTGCCAACAACTGGACCCCCTGAAGGCAGCACTCATCCAGAAGAGGCCATCTTTGATCAACAGAGGCCGAATTGTGTTCCATCAGGAAAACGCCAGGTCAAACTCTTGTTTGGTAAGGCGCCAGAAGCTCCAGAAGCTCGTATGGGAGGTAAAAATTCACCCACCTGAAATTCCGGATTTGGCACCAAGTGATTACCATCTTTTCCTGTCCATGGGGAACGCGCTTAGTAGTGAGAAGTGGGTCTCAAGAGAGGCCAGCGCAAATTGGCTCTCCGATCTTTTTGCCAATAGTGACGCAGTCTTCACGAGAGGGGTATGTATTGGCGTTTCGATGGCAACAAGTTTTCAAACAAAACGGCGCATATTGAACTCAAATCGGACAAATGTACACAAAGTTATCATATTTTGAAAAATCAATACAAAAAAAAACCGAACGAACTTTTCACTTGAGCAATATTACGCTTATATTATGTTTAATCTTCATTTCGACTATCTACGATTATTTCCCGCGGCATGTCAAATGGATTTTAAACCATAATTAAATGTCGCTAAACTGGCAAAGTCTCATATAAAATTAGTAGTTATTTCCAAACGAATACGAGTTTAATGACAAAATTAATCAGAATGTTTGATATCTCTTTAGTTTCATTTGTCACAGCAAACCACATTAAGATTCTACATTATTTCGCTTGGCGATTTCTAACGAGCGTTTTATCATTCGCATTTTATTATATTTATTTTGCAATTAAACAAATTTATTTAATTTAACCACAGCCTCAATAAGCTTATCAGTATACTTTTCACAATAATAGCAAAAACAAATGTGTTTTTATATAAATTTACATAAAAAAACATAAAATATTGTTCGGTTTCATGATATCTACATTTGTGTGTATGTTTCGTAAATAAATTGCAAAATGCTAAAAAAAATGATATATTTAAGATATATTAAGTTAAGTAATAAGTTCGTTCGTTCCTCTCGTAGAAGGCTGCGTCCCTATTGGGCAGGAAAAGATGGTAATCACTTGGTGCCAAATCCGGACCATCCGAGCTCTGGAGCTGCTGGCACGTCATCAAAGACGTGAATAAAACGATGCATCCTTCAAGAGTACAGTTTTAGGCTTCGTTTTGCTTTGGCGAGTGCTGTACTAAAGTTAATTTCTAATGAAATAATTTTTTTTTTGGCAAACGTGCGTAGTTTGGCTCCATTCTTATAGGGACATCTTAGGAAACTGAGTAGCTGACGAACTGTCCAGTAAGTTAGCACTTCTAACCATAGTAATTCTGCACATAACGTGGGCATACCGGTTTCCTCGGCAAAGTATCTGCTAAGGCCAGCATTCCCTGGAAATCCAACAGCATTACAGAGCGAAACAACGTGGAAAGTAACAAAACTAAGTCTCTACTCTTTCTAAAGCGGACCGCCATAAGCAAAACAACCGGCGTAATAACCAGCAACTGCCTATGGGAACTCATGACAGGATAAGCTGCTTCTAAATGACTTCTGACGCAGTTGTAGTGACATCGATGATAACGAACTGCTGGAATATTACCTCTGTCACCACCCAGCTCTCATCAGTCCGTTCTCGTTTCGTTTCTTAGAAATTTCTTCTTCGATTTCCTTGCAGAACTCATCGATAGGTGGCATTAATCTCCCGAGTTTCATAAAGCATATCAAGCAGTTTGAGCGTTTTTAAAGGTGAAAAAAATCTCCTTAGCAGGACCCACATAGATATTACAATGTGCCAGTAGGCCTAAGCGCACTTGATCGAGGTTCCGTGTTCAAGCAACCTGTTTAAGTAACTAACTTACTCGTACTAACTGCATTACAGTTATTCAGAAAATCTATACGTAAGTAACGTCCTTAATAGTCCACTTCATATGCACCATCGGTTTGCTCGTTCCATCTCAAATATACTGTAACTGTAAGTGAAAGTGTAGTCGGAGACCCGAATGTATCCCCGTAATTGTCTCTGACATGCACATTATGGTGTATTCTGCATTCGGACTTACACCTACATCCATATAACGTTCATCTCACTTCATTGCGAGAGAAATATCCCGGCCTCGTAATCTCTAACCTTGGCGATGTCAATTGCCCATTGAGATCGTGCGATTTGACAGGGTTAGACCTTTTTTGTGGGGCTATGCGTGTTTATGGTGACAAGAATTTAACTCTTCACCAGCCGAAAAGCAAAATATTAGGTGTAGTAAAAAGAAATCCATCATCTTTCCAAGAGATGGCGTTATTTATCTGTAACTCGCGTTGTATAAGTCCGAACGGGTCCCGCTAGATGGCGTTATAAAGATGACATTTCGTACTAAAAAACGCTGTTTAGAAACTTTTTTGATTGGTTGATTGAGTTTTGTTTAAGTGCGCGTCAAAGATGGACACTAGAAAAGGGAAAATATGCCATTTTTGGCAGTTTTTCTTCGAAAAGCCGAAAAGGCGAAAATGCAAGCGAGGCGACTGAAATGCGAATAGCATTTACATTCCTGATACTGTTACAATCAATCAGGCACAATTACAGTTTTATTACCGTAATTTTGATGTAAAAGATGCTTTACGGAGTGGAATTCCAATTGCCGAAAATGTCGATGAAATCCTGGACCTTGTCGAGTCCGATTGATATAACCTCTGTTTCGATTGCCTCCTGAACTCAAGATTGCACAGAAAACCCTTTTGAACCATTTGAATAATGCTGTATACGAAAAGTTAATATTAAAGCAGTAAATTTATTGCAAATATAATAAATTTCTTTTTTCTCAACCTGATTCTTTAAATTATGGCTGAGATACCGCCCAATATGTGCCCAGAAATTACCTCAAACGGTTCGAAGTTTGCAAAAAATTGCGTTGATTTGAATGTTGTTGGATTTCACATGTAGTTGTAAAAAAGTAATTTCTTAATAAAAAAAAAAATATTTTTAGTGCATTTAATTAAATTTAATTCGTTTAGTATCGAAACAGCAAAATGTGTAACCCCAACTTCTGCATACAAGGTTCGTTTGAAATATCTCAAAAACTTTGGGTATAGTTTGCTTACAAACAGACGGACAGACGAACATGGCTGAGATATCAGCTCAACTCCTCAATCTCATTTAGTCCTCTTCTGGAACTTACATACTTCGAACCAAATTTAATATACCTTTTCATGTGCATGAAGGGTATACATTTTGTATAAAAGTATTCGTAAATTGGCCAAACTCTAGCAAAAAGTCTGAAATTTGTCGTAAAATCCAAAGTGCTTTTGACACTTTGCTTTGCCTCACGGTTTTATGCTGCCAAACTCAGTAACAGGTGCGTAAAACAGTCACTTTTATGCACAGTTATATGTACATACATGCGTATATTTTATGTGCCTCGTATATGCAATGAATATACATTTATTCGGTCTCCATTTTGCAGCTATCTTTCGTTGCTCGAAAGCGGCAACTTGTTGATTCACCTTTAAAGGAAATTGATGTCAATATCAATGTGTGCGTGTGGGTATGCCATGCTCGAGTGTTTATTCGCTTGAAAGTATTTTGTACGAGTTATTTTTTGTAAATATTTGTAAAAAAAAAATTGTTTTGTTCTATATGTTTGTGGATATGCGTCGCATTAGTCATTTTAGTTTTTTTTTTTTTGCATTCTTGCTTATTTATTTA